TCTTTCCCTTAGTAGTCTCTGCCTCCCGTCCCCACCTCCCACTGGTCCGATTTTAGGTGACAACTCTCACAACTGTTTTGACTCTCCTGAAGCATATCTCTGCTGTGCTGGATGCCCTCCTCGGGCTGGCGGCCAAATTCCCGAGTGCCAGGGTGTGGTGTGGCTTCGCCTCCCCAAGGACAGGTGCGCAGGGAGCAGACAGGATGTCTGCTGAGCCAGGAGGCAGATATCCATTTGCCCTGGGGGCAGTCTGGGGCTCACCTTCGGAGCAGACCTAAGATCTTCAAATGTTCCACCTTGAAGTTTGGTCGTTCTTTTATAAGAAATGGCCTTCGCCAGCCCCCACCCAGAACTCCCTTGTGGTAGGATGAACCTAGCTATGGACCCAAAATTTCCTGCGTGCGCTCCAGCACAGCACTTGTGATGGGCTGCAGGAGCAAACACATATATTGTCGGGACTTCCCTGGTGGTCCAGTGGTAAACAATCTGCCTGCCAATGCAGGGGACACGGGTTCAATCCCTGGTCAGGGAACTAAGATCCCACATGCCTAAGCCTGTGTGCCACAACTACCGAGCTCGCACACCTCAGCTAGAGAGCCCGCATGCCGCAACTATGGAGCCCATGTGTTCTGGAGCACACGCACCACAACTAGAGAGAGAAAAGAAACCCGCACGCCACAACTAGAGAAGCCTGCGCCACACAACAAAGAGCCTGCGTGCCACAATGAAAGATCCTGAGAACCTGCATACCGCAACTACAACCTGCAGCCAAAATAAAAAATAGACATATATTGTCTTTCTCTAAGTACGGTTTCTAAACACTCCCCCCAAACCCCCCACAGTGGTAAGATCATAGACCCAGTGCCTGGCTATGTGACCCCCACCTCGGGGGTCAGGTCCATTCTAGGCTGATCATTTCCACCTCTCCCATGGGGGTGATAAGGGTCACATGAAATGAGGTCTAGGATTGTGCTGAAAACTGAATTCCCATATTTACACATCTGTGTTCATAGCAGCATTATTCACAGTAGCCAAAAGTTGGAAGCGACCCACATGTCCATCCATAGATGAATGGATAAACAAACTGTGGTCCATCCATACAATAGAATATTAGTGAGCCTTAAAGAGGAAAGAAATTCTGACACGTGCTACAGCATGGATGAAACATGAAGACATTATGCTCAGTCAAATAAGCCAGTTACAAAAGGACAAATACTGAATGATTCCACATACATGAGTGACTTAAAGGAGTCAAATTCATAGAGACAGAAAGTAGAAGGGTAGGTACTACAGGCTGAGGGGAATAGAGAGTTATTATTCAACGTGGACAGGGTTTCAGTTTGGGAAGATGAAAAAATTCTGCAGATGGATGGTGATGAAGTTTACACAACAATGTAAATGTAGTTGACACTGGAATCTACGCTTAAAAATGGTTTAAATGGTAATTGTTATGTTATATATATTTTACCACAATTTTTAAGTAAAAGTTTTTAAAAAAAATAAAATAAATGGCCTTATTCTGGTTTCCACCTATATCCTCTAATCATGCTTTTCACGTGGAGGATTTAAAAGTATAAAGAAGCCTGTCTGTCTACCCCCATGCACAGACATGCACAGGAACTCTATCTGGCCCCTCCATCCCCTCTAACCCCTGTTCCCTGTCCTTGACCTCTACTGCTCCAGCCTCGATGCCCGTGATGCTGTCTTGGACCTGAAACACCCTCGCTTTCTCCTCTCCCGGTGCCAAGGATGCTGTAGCTCCTCCATGCTCGGGACATGGTCCTGAAGCCGAGATGCCCACATGCCTGCTTGAACCTCTGCGGGGCCTGCCTTCTCTGTCTCCAGCAAAGGAAAGGTGGGTTTTTATAAATTCTGCTCCATTTGGTACAGTGTGTGTCGCATATTTTCACATCCATTAGAGGCAAAGCAGGAGTAGGATAAAGAGGTGAAATTTAAATGGGCACAATTTAGTCCTCTTCAGACCATGGGGTAGGATTAGGGCAGGAGTGGACACCGGGGTCAGACGAGGCTCATAGAGCTGTCTGTGCCCCTAGGAGCTCTGAGAAGGTTCTGTGAAGTGCTTCCCTTCTCTGTTGCTGCCTTTATAGAACTCAGGTCACATCGGACTTAGAGAGACTCTTCAAGCCTGCAGGACACGGTCATCCCACAAACGCCTTCATTTGTGGTGTACTTGAACTTTCTGTGTGTAGGACAGTCATCAACCTGTAGTTCATCCCCACCCTCTGGCCAGAAGCACAGAGGGGGTCAGGGCGTCGATGGCGTCATCCTGAAGGGAGTGCCCGGCTCTCGTCAGAAACATGGCTGGTGAGCTCGGACCATGCTGGGGAGGCTGGGGCTCCTTTGGCCTTCACGGCAGCATTTAAAGAGCACGCTCGGCCACAAGTGCCATCCTGGGTGGTTTTATGAGTCTGGTGGTTTATTCTGTTTGTTGTTTTGTTTGTTTTTGTAGAAATGAAAAAAAATGCACTCCATGAAAAGAAAAAAGAAAACCCCTATTTTTACAGCATATTGATTCTCCCTACATGGAAATAAACATGCAGCTGGTACCTGGAGCCTCAGTTTGAGGAACGTGTAGGACACAAGGTCGTTCAGGAAGAAACTGTAGGAAGTCAGTCTGGCAAGAGGTGAAAACATAGACCAGTGAGAGCCTGACCAGCAATCTGGAAGTTTCTGAGACTCACTTATACTCTAGAGATGTCCCATCCAGCCACTTCCATTCGTTTTCCTGCTCTGAGTCTGTGAGGCCGATCCAGTAGTTCTCTCTCCCTACCATCTGCTTTTTGATCCATTGCTGAAAAATAAATCAGAAACGGTACATTACTATTTCTTGAACAGATGTTTGGGGGACTTTCCCCTCAATGTTTAGAAAAGAAGGACACTTTATAAGAGGATGTTTATCCGACTTTAACAGAGAAGCATAATGAGATTTGAATAAGATAAAGCTGTCTCAAAAAAAAAAAGATGTTTTTCAGAATTTGTGCACTGCTTTTGCTGTCCTCTCGTTATTGCACTTGTTTTGCACTGTTTTGGGGGCTTTGACGTTTTTTCCTCTTATAAGTTTATAAGCAATATTTAAGTGATGCTCTTTCTCCCCTAAAGTATGCAGACCACTCGATGAATCCCACCAGAGTCCACCCGCTTCCACCACCCCTCCCTCCCATGTTCAAATAACAGTAACAGCCACGGCAATATTGAGCGCTTCCTCTGGGCCAGGTCCCACGTCCAGTGTGTCACATACAGCGTGTCTTTGAGCCATTACAACCACCAACCTAAGACAGATGACAAGTGGCTGAGCTGGGATCAGGCCCAGGTCTGTATGTTCTGAAGCCCAGGTACCTGACTACTGTCTTATGGATGCCCATTCCCAGTCAATTACTGCAGAAGCATCTGTTTTCAGGGTCATGTCTGCCAGAGACACTTAAGGAAAAGGAAGGAGGCCACTGGGACAGTGTGGCATTAAAGAAAGAGCATTGGTATTGTTGCTAGTTGGACCTCAGTTTCAATCTCAGCTCTGCATTTACTTGTCTCATCATGTATTAATCACTTAAACTTTGCAGGGCCTCAGTTTTCTTATCTGTTAGATGGGGGTAACATTACACATAAGCTCTAGGGATGTGGTGAGGTTTATAAGAGATAATGCCTCATACAGTGCCTGGCACACAGTAGGGGCCTAGTGAGTGGTCACCATTGTTGTCATGTGTGGGCTCTGCCCCAGGGCCGCCTCTGCTCTTCCTGACTGTGCCGAGGCCACATGTCTGGTCCCTTGCATCCCTCCCTACCCCTATGGTGCTTAGGCCTCTCTGCCTCTCTCTCCACAGGGGCCTGGTGCTGGCCTGCCAGGCTTACGGCTCTTTCAATGGCCACCGGTAAAAGCCAACACACACCTCCAGGCTTGATAAAGCAAGACCTTCCAGGTGGAAGCATAAGGACCTAATTCCCATGCCATGAATGCTTCTTGTCACTGGATAAATAGCCCAAATCTCCATAATGCGGCCTTCTGTGTTTATGTGACTATGAATTCTTGATATCTTTGAATCCTTAGTAAGCAGGTACTTTCCAGATGTCACGATCCTTAAATTACAGTTTTCCCCAACTATAAGTATGCTGCAAACATACCTGTTCCTCTCTTGTGTTTATGAAAATGAGATGTGAAGACTTGTCTTCACAGGAAAGTTTTGCATCCTCAAAAATTTCTTTTTCAACCGAAAAATAGTAGCATTTGTCTGTGAAGTTCTTCCAGTGAGGCGGGCAGCCTAGGAATGCAAAGTTTAAAAGTATTGATTAAAACACACACACACACACACACACACACACACACACACAGAGAGAGAGAGAGAGAGAGAGAGAGAGAGAGAGAGAGAG